TGTGGTAACTCCAAACCAGATTATATTTAAACACTGTTCAGAATTTCTTCACCATACAACGAGTATAATGTTATTTCATTTCTCTGATTCTCCAAGTTTTAATGATTACTTAGCAAATAAATGAAAACGCACCTCAGAAAGGAAGTGGGCAAATAAACATGCCCAAAAGGTTGTACATACATTTCCCTCTTAACTCAGCTCACTGAGAGATGGCAGCAGAGAGCTCCATTCCTCACTTTCAGAGCTGCCACAGTTTCATACAAGTATTTTGTGGACACATGAGCTAAATATCCTTTCAGATGGATTAACAACAGCGTGTTTTCCTCATGAGATAGGGTTTGCCTCATTCAAGGAGCATATAAATATGACCACCAATAAATAAAAAGAATCCCATGAGCTGCCCAAGCCTCTGTGACCTGTTGGACTGGCTTGCTGAGGGCAGGCCAAGGCCAGTGGTAATGGTAGCCAAAGAAGAATTGTGTGGCATCAGAGGAGTTGCCTTTTACACTCTGATCTGTAAAACAATGTATATAATAGGATGGGTTGGCTCCAGCCCTTAGAATAGCCACAAACCCAACAAAACTCTGAATATTCTCTATACCTGCTACCATACACTGATATTTATACAGGAGAACTGTGATTTCAGAGATAACAAAAGGGCTCGAGACAAGAAATGGGCTGGAGTACAAAGAATCCAAGCTTCCTACTGCCCACTTTGAAAACATATGCCAGCCCAGAAGTTTGATCAAAATTAATTTCTCCAATTCTACTTGACTGTACAGTTCAGAACTGAAGCAACAGTTCTTTGAATACAGAAGTATTTTCTTAATATATTCTTACTTTTTTTAATATAGACCATTTGATTGTTTCTTTCTTGATATTGAATATCCAGAATAAAAATAAACAGGACTTAATTACCAAAGACATGGAAGAAAAAAAAAAGTAATGTAATGTTAGTATATTGTCACAAATCTTAGATTTTCATTAACAACATGGTTAAAGTACAATATGTATCCTACTAAGGCAATAGAAATCTCAGAGCTGAAAGGACCAGGAAAGTGTACTGTGAACAGCAACAGTTAAACACATTGTTTCAAGAACAACCTAAAAAAGCCTAATTGGTTGAATCATATTAGAAGATTGAACAGCAACTACTTTAAACTCACTGTCCCCAAGCAAAAATCCATGTTTGCAAAAAACCTGGAACAAAAGTTCCCAGATATGGCTCTGGAGCTTCTCCGTCAAACCTGCCTATTAGCCAAAACCTCCCTCTTTCCTACATCCTGCTCAGCTCCTAGCACAGAGCTAGTCCTTCTGTTATCCTCTGTGTTATCCTGCTGAAATTACAGGACACTGGGAAAAAAAACCAACAAAAAAACCCGAAAAACAGAAGCCTTAAGGTTGGTCCCTCTGCAGTGTCTGCGAAGGCAGATGGGATTTACACGCAGGCTGAGTTTGGGCAGCCACAAAGGCTGTAGGTGGACATGAAGTGTTTTCTGAACAGCTGCTGTTCCTGGGGCTGGACACTTCAGCTACCCAGCAGAGGTGAACAATATCATTGTACTGCTGTGCTGAAGCACAGAGGAGCTTTTTTTGGCATTCATTTCATTCATTAAAATAAATCTTCCTTGTAAATTACTGGATGGGAATTGCGTCCTTAAACCTCACAGATTTGGTTTTGCTAGTTTTATGGTATGTACAATTGTATGGGTATCATTTCTGTAATCAAATATTTTATATTTGATATATAGAGGTTTCTGTTACAGCTATTTTCTGAATGCTTTCCAGGGCAACTGGCATGTTACATTTTCATTTCCTGGCCATACAGGAATGCCAGATATGGATAGAGGAATCTTTACTGGGTTTGTCTCTTAAAATTGCCACTAACCTATAGCAGTATTTTCTCACCCTCCTCTTCCTTCCCTTTGGGCAAAATGGTACCTCAAAGGCTTCCAGTTTTATGCAATGCTCTCTAAGTTTTCCTTCCCCCAATTCCACGCTCTCAAAATAGAGAACTACATCTGCCCCTGTTTTCGTCTCTTTTAAACACCAAATTTCTTCCTAAAAAAGTTTTTAGCAAATTTTTTCTTACAGTATGTTTCAAAACTGCAGAAGGAATGATAGAAAACAGTAAAAACTTTACAGCCTATCCCCTTCTCCCCCATTCCACCCCCTATAATCTCTGCAATTAGAAAGCAATTGTATTGCTTTTTGTTTTTCTCAGGCTTTCCAGAATAATTCAACTTTCAGCAAAGAACATACCTGAAAATACATCTGTGTTCTAAACACAGAAATAAAAATGTTCTAATGAAAGTTAAGTTTCACTCTTACCTACAGCATTCCCCACTGTGAAGGTTACTGTTTAAAAAGTCTGTTTATAATGCACCATCTGCTTGGTTTCTTTACACTCGTTTTATTCTTTATTGTGTGCTGTAATTAATGAGGCTTTCTGTATTATTACCATAAGAGCTGATGTTTTTCTTTATAAATGAGAAGCAATAGCTCCCTGATGAAAATTCCAGCTTACTTCAACAAATGAGAGGAATTGCCTTAAGACTGGATGGTTTGCTCAGGTGTCATTGCAGCGTCTGAGCAGAAGTCTCAGCAATCCTGCAGCCCACTTGCCTTCAGACACCGTGAACATGAGGTGATGGATGAGCTGGATGAAGTTGGGATGGCAACCTTGTCTGTAAAGGACAGTTGTCACATGTGACTACTGTACTTTCTAGCAGATAAGAAAAGAAATGAGACAAAATAATTTAACACCAAATCTCGCTGTGAGCTTTTGCTTCATCTGTGCTTGGTGGCTTTGAAATACATCACAAAGATAAGGACATGCTGCTAATGCCTTTTGACTGGAAGGACAATTTCTGTATGCTCTTGTTGCCTCCTTTTCTTTTATTTTTTTTTTGAAGTTGCACACCGTCTTATCTTCGTGTGGAATGATGGAGTATTTTAGATATACAAACAGAACAAGCAGAAATTGCATGACAAACACGCCCTCTGGTTTGGTTCCACACAGACAAGGGAGCAAAAAAGCCACACAACATGAAACATTCCCTGGTTTCCAATTCACAGACAAGCATGATGTCCTAAAAGGAAGGATTTGCCTTTTTGTGGACTTTGGCTTTGTCTCCTTTCTTCAGCTTTCACCTCCAGTAAACACCTTGCACTCTGCAGACCACAGTTGTACATAGGAGACTTCTGTACTTGCCATTTGGTATTAGCTAAAGCCTAAGAGATAATCAGCTAAGGCTGAAATGACCTCTGATAGTTGCCTTTCAAAAACTTAACAGCCTGCCTTCAAAAACACCTTTCTCCATCTGCTCATCAAGGAAAAGGATTTCTGATAGTCTGTACTCACCATTCACCCAGGACTGATTTTCTCATTTGGGGGGGAAGTTTATGGAGCTGATTCTCACTCTCTCAACATCTCTCAGCTTATTAAGTCAGACCTATTCAGTCTGACAGCACAAATGCAACCGGGCACGACCGAGCTACATTAGCAATTCCATGCAATTTGATCTATATGTGCCATATGCAATTAATCTGTACATGCTTGTTAGCAATTTCTGGAATATTAGGCGTACTGAAACTTTCTCCTCATTTTGAATAAGCAGGAGGAAAAAGAAAGGAATTAGAAAGGAAAATATTGCATAATATCACAAAAAAACTAGTAGAAGAAAGATCTTATATAATACTTAGCATATATTTTAATATAAATCTTCTACCAGTAAAGGTCTCCGTTATATTTATACATACCTACCCACACAGACACATATATGTATACATGCTTTAAATGTATAGAAATCTTTGACTTATTACTTCCACTGGCCTAGAAAGAAGACTTCTGCAGGATATACTGGTGACAAGTTTGCAACAGGCACAGTGCCACTGCTGAAGTCTGTGCTACTGATATGATACAGCACGAACCAAACTGCTCCTTCCATCGAGAGGTGAGGGGTAAAATAAAACTCATTGCTATTCTCCAGGAATTCCGGACAGGAGACAAATCCCTTCATTTTCTGTTTATTGACTGGATCTCATATTTATATGCTGTATCACAAGATCATACTTAGCACTAAAGCTCAGTGATTAATTCATAACAATTACTGCCTAACAAAGTCTTCTCATCTTCACAGAAGACTGATGTATTTTGCAAATTCCTCAGTTATTTGTTGTTCTGAAGTAATGAATTAATTGCAATAATTTTCTGCTTTATAGAATGGCAATAGTTGTGTTTTCAGCTGAAACATGGCATGTGTCATACAAGGCATACATTACTGGTTTTCTTTGCTGGCTGGCAATATTATATGCAGTTATTGCAGGAAACACTCACAAACTCTTACATAGATATAAATTCCGTTAGAATTTGGGGGAGCATTCACTGGAAATATTAAAATTATTTTAAATTCTTTCACTTACAAACAACACTTTGTGACTTCAACACTCACATTATGCACTTGTATTATTGTCTGCAGGATGATCAGTGTTAGTAAGTTCAGTTCTTTGTAGAGAACTGAACCATGGGCCATAGACACTGTAATAACCACGTTCCCAGAAACCAGCAGAGATAAGAAAGTTTACTCTCAGCATTTATCCCTTCAAACTCTGTTATCTGTCATGAATCCTACTCTGAATTCCATCAAAGAAGCCCCACGTAGCCTTGAGTAACAAATGGATTCATTTCAGTATAGAGCTCAACGCTCATTAAAAACATTAAAAGTCTAAAGAAGCTAAATCTAAACTGAATAAAAGTAATTTTCTCTGAATACTACACTTAAGGTGTGTAATATCTAAATTTTAAACATAAAATCATCACAGCCATTAAATGAGCTGTCCACGTAGATTTTCTGTTGTTTCCCTGAATTTTTTTTACAGTACACATTTTGAGCCTAAATGACTCTCGGAACAAATCACTTACCTCCTATGGCAGTTGTTGCTAATGAATTGGACTTCACTGGTTTTCTGTTTAAGACAGAATTCTGAAGCACAGACTGGTGGTATAAAACTACCCATTGGGGTAGTATTTTGATTGTAGACTTGCCTGTATGCACTAAAACATTCCCAGCTTTCCTAGAGAAACAAAACCATCGAAACACATTTGTTAAGGACAAACAATACACAGAGCAGAAGCTATACCTGACAGTGCTAAATTTAACAGCTAAGCCTGTAAATGCTACTGTACTAAATCAGATGGATACTAGAACTATCAGTTGCTTGGAGAAATTTTATTCCAATTTCCTTTGTGCTGCAGAATGCAAAAGAGTAATTTTTTAGGCTCTGCTACAGCCAAGCTGATGGCTAAAGCATTCCCATTTTGAGCAGTTTAACAAATGCATATTAATTAAAAATATGGTAATTCCTACATACTTTTGTAGAAGCTATTAAAGAGAAAGGCCACAAGGAAGTTCTTTTTGATTCCTCCAAGCTCTACTAGTAGAAAAAAGCTCTATATTATGATTTCCCAAAGCATGAAAAAACTGCAGAAAATGTTTACACACACATAAGATTTGAAGGTGTGATAATCTGTGTATGTCCATATCCAAGAGTTTATAAAGTTAGTTGTACATATATTTTTTATTACAGATTGTAACAAACCTCATAAGCAAAACATTTTGGAGTTATTCTTCTTACAGGCTAAAAAAAGTTTTATCAAAATGAATTCAGTAAATGATGTGGCTTCTTTTACTGAATAAAATGCATCTATGTAGAAAGCAACCATGAGGCTTTACTCTCCCTACTCATCTGTTCACATAGATATTGTCCCCTGAGGCTACAAACTTTGCTTTTTGCCCATTTTCTCTTTGAATTTCCATAAGATTTGCAAACATCATTCAAACAGCAAACACTAATGCAGGTTATTTACAACCCTCTGTGTAGGGGAGGTGATGCTTGCAAATGTAGTAGAAATTCTGGTTAAGTATTTAGGCTATATGCTCAGAAAACTATTTACAGTCCACCATGGGCATGGCCAGTTCTTATTCAAATGTATTTAATGTTTTCATCAGGGTCCTAAAGGCTCCCTGTGTGTAATTGGAAGGGATCTCCAGAACAGTCACAGCCTGTTTATTCTGTTCCAGAAACTTACATTTTCACTACACTTTGATTTTTTAACAATTGATACATTAGCTGGTAATTGATACATTATCTAGCAAAAGGGAAGCACCCCTTTGCAGTACCATGTGCAGGAAGATTGATGTTTACTGGTAGTTTTATTCCAAAGGGAAGATTACAAAGCAAATCACCACAATCTCATCTGTGTGGTTGCATTTGTAGATATTCTCCTTCTTCTCACAGCTGGGCCCAAAGCTGAGCCCACGTCAAAACACACATCAAATCCAGAAAAAAAATTTACAAACTTTGGCCTTTTTACATAAAGGCACTTTGGGAGAGCTCACTTTTGACATGCACATTCTCTCACTGAGAGACTGGCAAGGTTTGATGATGACAATGCCCACTATTGGATGACATGAGGATAACACAGGAAAAAAAAGTAAAAATTGAATGACTTAATGTCTAAAATACAAAGAGTGAGAAACACTGAAATGCTGTTGGACAAAATGGATGGAGGTGTAAACTAGGAGGGAATAAACAGTTCAGAGAGGCAGTGAGATGATAAACTGTTGAATGGCAAATTGATGCAGGACACCCAGTAACCAGAATATTCTGTACTGTGTGTGATATCAGCACACAGAGTGTCCCATACAGCACAGCGTGTGGAACGTACCAGGTCCCTGCATGCTTTGAGGTACAAGCCCAAGAGTTACTCCTTATAAACAAGTGCCATTCCAAGTTCTCATTAAGGCACTGAGGTCTTTTCAAGGCATCAGTGATGCAGTCTGCCTGCACTTGTGACTGGGGACAGCACAGCTCCATCAGCTCTAACTGCTCTTGTCATCAGCTATGGGGGAAAATCCTCCTCTGTGTTACATACTTGTAAATGTCCAAATATGCTGTCTAGACAACAAAGCAGTGAGCATATGCACCAAATGCCATAGGGACTGTTGTTACTGTGCTTTATGTTCAGGCAGTTCAGTTTTCTCTGGTGGTGCATCCAGGTTTTGTTACAAGATTTTTCACACAGTGCTGCACTTCTTTGTTAGGCTCGGAAAGGTTATGGTTTTCATAAACTTCCATGATCACCAAACCACTTGCTGGTGTCCAACCAATTGTAATGAAAGTGAAACCTGCCAATGCCAAGAGATTTTATTGAAATAGGAAAACACAGCAAGCAATCTACAAAATCCACTGAAATAGTACCCTGTGACCCCAAACTAGGTAGCATCGAAAGTTACTTTTAAATCAATACTTCACTCTGCAGAAAAATCAATTTCCTTCCCTCTGCAATCCATAAAATTCATCAGGAAAAAATTACCCCTTACATATTACAGTCCTTTCACCCTACTGGTTTGCAAATTAATTACAATAGACAATTTCAAGCCCTGTAACAGGTTGGGACAACACGCTATAAGGTATTTTGCAACCTGTGAATTAAAACATGGATTAGATGTGATGTGAACACCTATAGCTTTCCTGATTTGCCCAGCTTCCCTTTGGTAAAGGCAAACACTGCTTTTTTAGCTACAGCCTTCTAGTGTCTCAAGTAGTATCCAGGTTTCATTCCCGGAAAACACTCACCTGTTTGCAGATACTGTGCAGGACACACACACAACCCCACATAACAAAGCTTGTTCTATCAGCATCCAAATAATTTCTCTTAAGGCACCGACATCTTGCCTTTATTCTTCCATATGGGAACTGCAGCCCTGCTGTGAAAGAGTTAAAGAGCTTTACTGCACAGCACACATGGAGATTCCTATCAGTCAGCTTGTGCTCTTGGGTATGGATGTTCCACATTTGGCTGCCTGGGCAAACTCTTCATCATCTTGGAACTTTCTACATAGCTCGTAGAAAGCTGTTAAAAATGTTTTTAAATATAATGGTTTGCTGTTAAATATGTTTTTAAATACAATGTGCAGAACCTTATTGATCTAGTCAAGATTTTGCTCATTTTAATAATGAAAGTTTCGTTTTAGAATATTTGTCTACATAAGCTGACTTGCTCAGTACACACCACAGAGCCTGACTTTCCATTACATCACTGTTTTCCTGCTGTTCTAACCTCCATTCCTTTACCCCCAGTAACTTTTGCTTTTTTTTTCCCCAACTGTTAGATATTTCTTTCCTGAATTTAAATTGTCTGTATCTTTTAGAGACTTCAAAGTCTTTGTGAGGCTATAGTCACATCTTATGAAAGAGGTCCAGCCTCTGAGAGGTTGTTTTCTTCCAGTGTATCCCATAGCTCAGATCTTTACACTTTTTGTATTCAGTCCTATATTGTCTCTGACAGAAGTTCAATAAAATTGTCTTTCTACCCACAATATCAGGGTTCTCAGCATTGCTGGAACTGAATGTTATAGACCTACAGTCTATCTCTGTGACAAACCTGAACTCCCCTGTCTGCCTCATTATATGGTAGGCCACTGGCAAAAGGTAGCAGTGCCTCTCTTGGAAATTGATGTATCACTTCTACTGTTTTCAGCCAATTAATTTATGTCATAATTCATGAAAGTTTCCTTTTTAAACAGTCAGATGGTTAGTTATCTAAAAAGGTGGAGCATTATTTTTGCTATTGCTCCCCTTGGTATTGCCTCTCTTGCTATAAATCTTTTTAAAGTTGTTATTTCACTACTTTTTCTCCTTATTTCTACATGTTATTATTTAAAATCTTCCCTGGTTTAGCCACTTTTCAATTCTTAGCTTGAAGTAAACGTCAAAGTTATCACACATTTTAACAGTGTTAAAATGCAGCACCTTGGCTTCCCACAGCATCAAGCAGAGGATGCAAACACTGTTTTAAGGCTTCACTTGATTCTTTCATTCCAAGCCTCATCCAGGTTCCACTGTGTACAGCAGAGGGACAGGAAATTTGAAAATAAAAAGGCAAACTGATATTTACATACATACTTCAACGATGCAGCAGCACATAGAGCTCATATGTTTACAGTGCAACCAGGACATTTGATCCAACCTAGCCAAGAAACACCCCATCCTGCTTGCCTCCAGGATCTCTTCCATTATATGCCAATAATTTTTTAATGAATGTAAATTTTGTGGCTGTATGCAACGACTGAACTCAGTGACCTGGGAGGTAATTCACAATTCTGATATGCTATTTTTCATTCCTTATTTTCATCCTTCTTTTTAGACTTGAACATTGTTATTTTAATCTCTTGTTACCCTTTCTCCACCCATTTACAATACATTTTTCTTTTTGGTTTTACATTTGAAGACAAGGAGACATGAACAGAGAAAAGGAATGAGGAATAGTGAAGGGCTGAGAGAGCATAATAAACTGAGAAGAATCTGTGCACCAGGACTCGGGCTCTGTAGAAACACCATAAGACTCAGTCTGTGGTCTTGTTTCCTGTTCCTCAGTCACCTACAGTGGGGCTATTTGAGTGAGTTTGTTGCAGTCTTAATACCCTCTTGGGGATGCTGTGTGTGGTGTGTCTTTCACACACAGATTAAATTATTCTCTACAAAATTTATGTGAATACAAAGCTCAGGCTCCATAGTTGACCCAAGAATAATTACAAGGTAATAGGAAAACGATGAAATGCCTTCCAGCCCACTGGTTACAGTTCTCTGAAAAGAGGTTACAACCCATCAAAACCTGACTAGACCAACCACTTTATCAGTGAGCCAGTGTGAAGGCTCACTGTTTATCAGTGTGAGGGCTCATCTGACTCACAGTTACTCTGCTGCAGTCGTAAAACTAGTTGTGTGAATAAGAAAAGATGTATTTGGCCCAAATCTCTTTGAGTCTAAATTAGAAGAGGATCATTTATGAAAACTTAAATGATCCCTGCTGTGCTGCTGCAATAGTGGTTTTATTCCTGATATGTATCAGCATGAGCTCAGATATGTTACTCGGGAAAAATTATTAAGAAAAAAAGCTCCATTCAGCTCACAATGGGTTTGTGTTTGTCCAGTGGGTTTATGGTTAAATGAAAAGTTAAGGATAAACAACCTTCCTGAATGGCTGAAAACACCATCCACATGCTGGGTCAGACATCCACCTTCAGCAAATGCGGGTTTGGGAGGTAATCTGCACAGATAAGAAAACAAATATACAGTGTCATTGTTAGCAAGTACCACTGCAATGAAGAAGAAATGCAAACCCACTTAAAATTATGCTTTACCTGTGATAAGGCAATTTTTTTCATCTTTAAATGTTTTCACTTGAACACTGTTAACTATTTAGCCTTAAGGAAAATTCTTAAGAGGTATAAACCTTACTCGATGCTTTTGTTAAACTTAATTGCAAAAACATTAATGGTTGTTTGCATTAAGTAGACCATTGCTAAAAAGCTTCTACAACCTAGCCTTTTATGCATCCTGGGGAAGAGAGGAGAAAGGCAGAACTCTCAAATGCTGCATATCCATGCAGGGGTACAGGGAGGAATGTTTGGAAGCCTAGAAGGAATGTTCTTTGAAATTGGCCTCCCTCCCTCCCCTTTTTTATTTTGCAGTTCACTTCCCTTCCCTCCTTATTTGTGAGGATAATGTGTTGAGACTGCTCCTCAGCTGTTCCCAAATTCCTGCATTCCAAGTGTGTTCCCTAACTAATTAATGTGTATCTCTTCTCTCTCACACATGTCCTTGTACCCCGTGTTCCAACAATGCTGGTTCCTGCTTGCTCTAATTGCTTCAGAGACCTGTTTTATCTAAATTTTCTGTGGTTTACACATACACAGAAGGAAACTGCATGTGAAGACAATGAATCTCGGTACCTTTTCTCCTTTAAAGGTCAGATATTTTCTACTCTACAGATACAAAAAAATCATGTCTTGGTGACTAACCCACACTGTACATCTGCAGTGTTTTTCCACTAAATCTAAACAATAAAAATATAGTAAAGAAGGTTCTCCACTATTTATATTATGCAGTGAAAGTGCTCCTCATAGCATTAAATGATAGCCTTGCATGCTATTCACACACATTATCTGAAAGCTTATATACCTATTATATATATAAACCTAATGCCGACAGCCATAATAGTCTGCATGAACAGGGAACTCTGTGCTTACTGAACCACAGTCATGAAACTAAAAATGAAATTATAGTTCCTCCATCATAATACCAAAGTCAGTATATAATATTCTGAAAGAACAAGCACACAGTAATACCTAGCTTAATACTGGGTGCCATACATTATTGTTCAATGCTATCAAAAACCTGCACCTTCAGATTCTTTAGTGAAACATATTACATTACTTAAATTGTCATAACAAAGACAAAGGTGTTCAATTTTACATTTTTCTGGCACCTCAGTTTTTATGAAATTGCATATTTTTTTCCTAATAGAAGTATAGTTTATTTGCTGATTAAATTCCAATAAGGGAGTCTTGATTTTTTACAAAATACATTTGGGAACGCAAGTTCTAAGCACTGACAGGTACATTCACCTTTGTTTCCACTCACAACCTGGACTAGAAGACTGGGATTTGACTGTTTTGTTTTTCCAACTATTTCATCATAAACCACTGAATAAATAATGTTCAGCATAACTAATGCCTCCATATAATGCTAACTCTGCATGATTCCATATAAGTGAATTTAATATGAACTGTGGTAAAATTGCAAGTATATCTCATCCACTGCTCAATTTTAGCAATTTAGTTTTTACAAACCATGATTGTTAATGGACAATTTGAGTGAGCTATTTAAAGTTAACTCTCCAGTACTTACAGGTAGATTATCCAAAGTGTGCATTAACCATAACCAGACACAGAAATGGTCAGTGGGGTCACACAGAGGCTGTATCTGCAAAAATCAGGCCATTTGACTCTTGAGTTTGCTTCAGATTGTAGACAGGACACACTTGTGCCCACACCAGCCCCTAAGTCATTCCTGATGGATGGAGCAATTTTCACAAATTTGGCTTCTGGGACTCACTTTCATGAAACCTCTGCTTGGACTGGAAACTCCTGTGTTAGTGATGAGTCATGAGCTACCAGAGCTCTGGTCTTAGGCACCGTCCCCCATGTAGGCTTGAATTCAGTGCCTCAGGTTTGGCATTAACTAACAGGCTTTCACAGAATCACAGAATCATTAAGGTTGGAAAAACCTCTGAGGTCATTGAGTCCAACCTTTGATAGACCATGGCACTCAGTGCCATGTCCAGTCTTTCCTTAAAACACCTTCAGGGATGGTGACTCCACCACCTCCCTGGCAGCCCATTCCAATGCTTGACAACCCCTTCTGCTAAGAAAGTTCAGTGCGATTGATTTGTTGATTTAGGATGTGTCCATTTCATATAAACACAGACAGAGAGAGGATGTTTACATGTGTGTGTGTATACATACACAGTTATGTTTGCATACATAGATTTATCTGTATATACGTACTGACTGACGCATTTTGCCAGTGGATGAAGAACAGAGGCATTTTGTGGATTCAAAGTGCTTATGAAGCGTCCCAGTAGGCTTTATTAGGGTTTATTAGCTTGGGTTGATTTCGTATTTCCTAGTAAAAAACAAAAGACCTTTTAGTCATGAAAAAAGAAGTCAGAAGGTGGCCTCCAGCAGTTCAAGGCTGTCACCTCACATTTCCCGGCCCCTCCAGACATCGCTGCCCTCACTGTTCCCAGCCACTGCCTTCCCCACAAAGCCCTTTCCTGCTCTGATCACACACTGGCCCTTGGTCCTGCATGTTCGGCATGGTCACCCCAAACCGTCACAGGATCCCAGAATCCCAGAATGAGTCAGGCTGGAAGGGAACATAGTGGGTCACCTTGTCCCAGCGCACACGGCACAGGATTGTGTCCAGACAGCTCTGGAATATCCCCGGTGCGGGAGGCTCCACACCCTCTCTGGTCTCTGTTCCAGTGTTCGGTCACTGCACAGGGAAGTTCTTATGTTCAGGTGGAACTTCTGTGCATCAGTTTCTGCCTGTTGCCTCTTGTCCTATTTCCCCTCACCACCGAGCAGAGCCTGGTCCATCCTTTGACACCCTCCCTTCAGGTACTCGTATACATCGGTGAGGTCCCTTCTCAGTCGTCTCTTCTCGAGGCTGAACAGGCCCAGTTCCATCAGCCTTTCCAAAGAGAGATAACACACCTTCCCTCACACCAGCACCCCACGGTGCCACCCGCGCCCACTCAGCCCCCGCAGCCCCTCACAGCCCACCCCGCGGCCCCTCACACCGGCCCGGCCCCGCCGCTCCCTCTCCGCCCTCCGCCGGGGCTTCCGCCCGGGGCGCGGGGCAGGGCGGGGACAGCGATAAGATGGCGGCTCCGCTGGCCGGGCAGGCGGGGGCTGTGCTGCGGGACCTGGCTCTGCGATCCGCCCGCCTGCGGGGCGGCTTCCCGGTGAGTGAGACCGGCCCCGGCCGCCGCAGCCTCCGCTCCGCAGCCGCTCCGCTCCCCGTGCCCGCACCGCCCGCCCCCCGCGGCCGGCGGGGATCCCGCTCGCAGCCTCCGCCCTCCGCGCCCGTGTCTGGCAGCGGGGAGGACCTCTCGCCTCCCGCCGTGGCGGAGCTGGGGCTGCTGGTGCCCGGGCTGGATGGAGGACGAGTCCAACCTCCGGCGCTGCGCGGGGTCGGGGCGAGGCTGCGGCGGAGGCGCCGGGTCAGGGCTGGGCAGCTCAAAGCGTGACCTGCAGCGCCAGTTCTGAGCGCCTCCTGCCCTGCAGCTCACACTGCTCTCGGTTATTTCCTTAGCACAGCCAGGTGTGCGCGAAGTAACGCCGTTTATCTCGACACGTTTCGGGTTGGCTTTGGCTCTGTGCGGGTGGCTGGAGTCAGGCTGGGGGGAGTGATGCCCACCGGGAAAGTCGGTCACAGCTCAGGATTCCCGATGGCCTTGGACCTCAGCAGTGTGGTGGGAAAGAGTGAATGGGCCTCCTGGAAGGGCTTGTGCTCAGGAGCTCTCTTGAGGTGTAGCAGGAGTTCATTATTCACCTCGAGAGCAGCCATGCTGGGGTGAAATGAGATACGCACGTTTTAGGCGGCTCTGGTGCCTTTGGCAACCAACTCCTTTAGTTCGTATTTTTATCATCATCAGCAGCTGCATGGGAACTACTTTGGCCCACGTTTCTCAGCATAAGTATTTAACCCAAGACAAAAACCTCTGGAGGGAACAAACCGTGTGACTGGTTGTGCTGCGCAGGTGCCACCACTGGGAATGCTCGTGGCTGCAGGTGCACGGCGTGGGATGGCTGCTGGATAAAGTAGGATGTTGGTGCTGAACTTAATTTGTGCGGTACGACTGCTCCTGTGTGGTTTATCTTTTGACCTGGAGGAAGTTAGCTCGCTTGATTTTAAATCTGGAATCTTCTGTGCCCAACTTTCCTATTTTAATGCTGGGTATATTGTTCAGCAATTCAGTGCGATTGATTTGTTGATTTAGGATGTGTCCATTTCCTATAAACACAGACAGGGAGAGGATGTTTATGTGTGTGTGTATACATACACAGTTATGTCTGCATACATAGATTTATGTGTATATATATACACATATGTAAATCTATTAATATGAATGAGCAGTGTTGTCACTCCCAACAATGTTTGGTGCATATGCACTGTATGGTTGAAGGTGCATTCCTGCCATCATGACTTACATGAGTCTGATCCTACAATAAGGAACTTGGAAGTAACATCCCTGTTCTTGTAGGACTTTGATATAGAGGGCCTGGAAACACCAGTGTGAAGCATTGCCTGGACAAAGTCATCTCAGAGGGTGTTCTGGTTGAGCTCTGTCTTTCTCTGGCGCTGAAGTAGGGATTTGAGGTACAGGTAGAAATTAGGAGTTAATGCTCTATTCTATCGTCTCTCAAAGCATGGAGTAACCCCATAAATTACCCGCTGAAATCACTGGGTATCAGCTCAGATTCTCAAGAGTATTTTTAGGATATCAAGGTGGCCAACTTTAAAAAAAAAAATCTTTATTTGTGCATTATTTTTGAACTAGGGATGTTGAACTTGTATTATAAATCACATTTTATTATTCTGTTTCTGAGCTCTGACAGATACTGAGAACATCTCCCAAGATCTGTGCTTTCCAAGTAGGCTATTTTCAAGAGCCACATCAATACTGTTTAAGAACAAATCAAGTTCTTAATTTCAAAGTAAACCACTTTGCTGTAGAAACATCTTAAGTTTTGCAGTGTTACCTAATAGAACTCCCATCTAAACAATCTCCTAATCTTCCCCTGCCTTAGACTTTAAGCTACAAACAAGTTGATCAGCCAGAGTCTGCATTTCTGCGCTACAAAGTAGGATAAAGGATCTGAGGGTAAGATCCTTTGAAACAGTTTTTTTCATTTGTATCATTCCCTCCTTGGCTCGGACCATAAGTTACACTGTTACTTTATTTATTTCCCATAAACCATCAAAACCTGTCCTCAAAGCCCATCACATTGTTCTTTTCAGAGATAAGGGTCTTCTATAAGACTGGTATTTCTTAATTACATCCTCTGTGAACTTTGTTGTTTTGGTAACGGTGTGTGAGAAGTTACTTGGTGAGATTTAAAGTCCTGCCTCATGATTTAGGATTGGAGTGGTGCTTGTACACTTTGTATCTGTTGCAAAATTTCCTGTTGTTTCAAAACTGTTGATGTTCACAGTTGTGTTGGATCAAGTTTTTTGAGAAATTTCGTTGTATGCTGTCTTTATAATCTGCCCCCACACGTTTTCCTGTGTAACTTCATTTTAGAGGTGGAATAAATGGTACTTGATCCTATGGCATGAAAATATTTTATCAACCTTCTGCTTTCCCTTTGGCTCTTTACCTTTTTAAGCTGTTAAACATTTTTTTTTCTCTTTTTGCTTTTCGTATTCTTGATAGATTCAGTTCTTTGTGCTTCTGGAGTTTAAATCTGACCAAGTGTTCTAAGAAGATAAAAGATAGATTTCAGTTGTCTGCAGAGCATGTGGACAAGCGTATTTAGACCTGCTCTTGCTGGAGCAATATTTGTAAAGAGCTGTGACAAACGCTCCAGGGACCACTCCGCTGCAGAATTCAATCTTGTTGGCTGGCAACAAATAGGCTCCACTGAAGGCTGTTTATTTGAATGGGAGTTGGATTGGGCCCTTTGGGAGAATGCTGTGTTTTCAAAATAGCTTCAGATGCAGTGGAATTCGGCGATGAATATAAATGAGGAACAATTAAATCAGAATAATAAAAAAAAATGCTCAAGGTAACTCTCCGCTATTCTAATAGAGTGAGCAGGTTGACTGGTGTGTTATGGACCCTGTCCCAGCCTTCAAAACAAGCCTCAGTCCTGCCAGAACACGTCCAAATTCCGTGTATGTTGAAAATATTTTAAAAAAAAAGCAAGGGCAGGAAGATGGAATTAAACAATATTCCTGTTGTAAAGTCTGCTGAATGCAGATAGGTACTAGAAATAGGGAACTGTGCAAGGTTGCTCCCTGCAGATGCCTTCAGTTCCTAGTTTTGGATGCCTATAAAGCCTCATTAACATTAAACAGAGAAAGTTATGTCTTTGTTAAGAATTTATCAGCTGTGGTAGCTGACTTTCCATGCAACACAAAACATTACTGAAAACTTTTCAATTCATGACTTCAGGAGCTACTTCAATGACGGATTCTTATTTTTTTCTTAGTTTTGTGTGAAGTTCTTGAAAATTTCTTGAAGGTTTGGACTGTTTCCCTGTTTGGCTTTTCCTGGTTGGCAGGTTTGCTATAATTTTCAAGGTTTTACGTTTAGAGGCAGGAAATACATGAGCCTACAGACTTTCACAAACAGCTTTTTCTGTAAGCACCTCAACCAAATGACAGGAAAGCCCTCTTCAAACTCTATAGACAAAACTGAAATGCCAAAGTGGAGCAGATGTTTGGCCCACTCCTCCCCGGCAGTTCCATTAAACACATGGTTATTGAATCCTATTTTGAGATGAAAGAAGGAAATGAAAACATAAATACAACCTCAGACTGTGATTTTTTTGAAATTCATGTTTTGTTAATTTTTCAGTGAGTTTTATGCTGGTGGAACTTCTACCTTAGGAGCAGTTCTGGCTCTGGCACAGATATTCACAGCTTTGTCTTGAAGTAGAAAAGCTGCAATTTGCTGCGTGGATTTACCTTCCTTTGTACCTCGTGGGGGTACAATCAGGGGATAGGGCTAATTAGATGAGAAGAGACAGCCTTCATGAATATGACATTAGATTGAGAATTAGCTGGGACACCTGTGGTCTTAAACCTGGCTATGGATGAGTAAACCCTTCCTCCAGACCCTCCATCTGAAATTCCAAACACTTTACCCAAAGACTCCATACCTTGCTTGGGTATATTTAGGATTGGTTAGAGTTTTTGATATAAAAGCAAATGTTTTTGATTTTTTTTTTTTATTGATCTACCTCCTGAGGAACTAGATGAAGTGTCAGTAGACAAACTGTGTTTTCTTTACAGGTATCTGAGTGACTGTTTCCTCCTGTTTTTCTCTGAAATAGTGTCAGTGTATGTAGCAACTTTTATTTTTTTTATCCTTTTTTTGAAAAAAAAAAGAAAAAGGCTTTTCATTTGGTCTTTCTGACTGTTTACTGCCGACAGGGATGCTATGAAGAATGTGTGAAGATACTGAGATTCTTCTGAGGATACAGAAAAGTGAGATGAGGGTTTAGAAACACTTGGGGTTTATTTGTTTCTTAGAAGTAGATCATTTCTCTGCTGTATTATCTTCTCTCTTGTTTGGAAGGTTCATTTTCAGCAAAAATTGGAAATGTACTCATTTAATGCTTGGAGATGAGATTCTCCTCCTCCCTGTTTTGGGGGCTCACTCCCAGGTACAGTTCCAGGATGATTTTTAGTGATAGATTTTTATTGTTGCTGTTGACAACACCTGTAGTGAGTAGCTCTGCTCATTATTGCCTTGGCCAGTCC